CAAATGACCCCTGAAATTTTCCAAATATTGACATGACAGTTGTATTAGTGCATGTTAACTGCAGAAATTTTTTGAAGCCCGTAGAGGAAGCTATCGCCCATTCGTCATCAAACATGCACTGTTCCATCTTGGAACCATAAGCCTTCTAGTGAGTTGCTTTAGTTTGTGAGTGTTGTGTGTCCAAACTTTCATCAAATATGCCAAAATTTTTACCACATCATCTTGGTGGCATGACATTACATCAAGCAAGGTTTCATGTGTTCCAGATCTTTTTTTTTATTTTTTCGAAATTAAATGCCATGGCACTCCATGCTTAACAGTGTCCAGGGTGTGAGACCAATATGTTTGAAAATTCCTCCCAATTTACTGCAGATGGAATTAACTCGCACACAAGTACACAAATATGATTTTTCAAACCATTATGGTTAGCCATTGCATGTAGATATAGTTCAAATTTGGATTACGATCATTAAATGGCTAGAAAATCACTTAAATGTCTTAAAAAGGTCAAGTGACCCTTGAAATTTTCCAAATTTTGACACAACAATTCTTTTAGTGCACGTCAACTATAGAATTTTTTAAAGCCCGTAAGAGGAAGCTATTGCCCGTTCGTCATCAAACATGCATTGTTCCCACTTGGAACCACGAGTCTTCTAGTGAGTTGTTTCGGTTTCTGAGGGGTGTGTGTCCAAACTTTCGTCAGACATGCCAAAATTTTTACCACATGATCTTGGTGGCATGACATTACATCAAGCAAGGTTTCATGTGTTTCTGATCTTTTTTTATTATTTTTTGGAATTTAAATGCCATGGCACTCCATGCTTAATTGTGTCATAGCCGTGAGACCAATATGTTTGAAAATTCCTTCCAATTTACTACACATGGAATTAACTCGCGCACAAGTACACAAAATATGAATTTTCAAACTATTATGGTTAGCTATTGCATGTACATGTAATTCAAATTTGAATTACGGTCATTAAATGGCTAGAAAATCACTTAAATGTCTTAAAAGGTCAAATGACCCCTAAAATTTTCCAAAATTTGACATGATAGTTGTATTAGTACTACAGTTTTTCTTGTAAATTTAAAACACCATCCGTTGCCACTTTACACCAAATTCGTCTTTCACAGCTAATAAAAAATATCAACAACAACAACACACATAGTTTTTTTAAGGAACCGTTTGCGATGAAAATTTGTGCGTCTATTTATGTCTTCCTCCTTAAGCTTCGCCAGCTCGTCTGCTTCAGTATCGGCAACCCTCGAATCCACTAATCCCAATCCACATTCCTGCAACCCCTTCTTGCAAAGATGACGCAGTGGAAATGCTTCATGAAGGCCCGTACGGAGGCTGCGTCCACCCCGAGCGCCGCCTCCTGCGCTGAGAGCGCCACCGCATCTGCATTGAGCGCCGCCGCATCCACCAGGAGGGCGTCTGTGGCAGCCGACAAGGCAGCTGCAGCAGGCAAACACCGAGAGCGCTCGAGCTGCCGTCCGTGCCGCCGACGTCGCCCTGGCCCGGGTCGAGGCCATCCATGCCAAAATCAAGGACGCACACGCCAAGATATACCAGGGTACCTCGGAATCCAGCATGCAACCCACGTCTGGAAAGGCGGCGGTGGCCATGGAGCACCTGTTTCCTCATGAGATCGCCGAGCGGGAGCTGGAGATGCAGGAGGCGGCGGAGATCTAGGAGCGCCGGGAGGAGGAGTTGCGCGTGGCCGAGGTCGAGGTAGAGAAGAGTCTGTCTGTTGAGGAATCGATGGTGGAGTACCAGTGCGAGCTCTGGCGCAACCACTACTACAAGTACTACAACCTTGAGGGCGACGCCGAGGATGAGGACGTGTTCGACTTCAGTAGGGGGGCGCGGAGTCCACCAACGGCGGCATGTCACCAGTATAAGTCCTCGACGTCTCATCTCACACCGGCGATGCATAGGCCGGTGCGGCGGTGGCTTTGTTGAAATTATGCGTACTTAGGATTTGTTTTTAATGCTGATCTTTTGTTAGGGCAATGTTTAGGTCAACTGGCTCTGTTTAATTACTTAAATTACTTGATTCAATAAGTGTGGTATGTGTATTGTACGCTCTTTTGTGTGCCGGAATTAGCAAGCGATGTTAAATTATGCAATGATGTGGATGAGGACAGTATCCAGGGAAATTTCCACCAAAATTTGAATTATCAAAGTCATCCCATGCACATAAAGTTGAAAAATCATTTGCGATGTGTACGGTCATTCAAAGTGAATGGTGTCCGGCGGCACCGTGCGTAAAGTTTCCCTCCACATTTCAAATTTTTTGGCCTACCGCCGAAATATCTACCCCCGCCCCCCTTCCCCATCCCCCTTTCTCCCCGACCACAAGTCACATTTTCCCTATTTCCTCCTTCCTTGCTTCCTTCCTAAGCTATAGCCGCTTCCTCGCTTGCTTCCTCGCTCTCGTCGTCTTGCATCCTACCGCCGCGGTCGCCATGGTCTTCTTCAATGACCACTCCAGCGGTCCCTCCTCCTCGACGACTCCTTCACCACCCGGGTATGCCTCTCTTCTCTCTCTCGGGCTATGACTTGGCATGAAGGATTTTAATCCGGCGGTCGATTTGAGTCATTTCTTCCTCTTGTAGCTCCCTAGGACCATCAGTTGCAACGAATGGAGCGGGGTGACTGAAGATCTGTCTGCTCATTGTCACCGTCAACCTCTATGCGTGAAAGCTAGTTGCGTTTGAATCTATGGAAAGTGGGAGAAAGTTAATGGCATGTGCAGAGAATCTGTGGACAGTGGGAGGAAGTTAATGGCATGTGCAGAGAAGGTTAGCCCCATTTTCGTTGTTACAAATCATTTGTTAGATGCGATTCATACACTATCATGGTCCCAACCCATTCATACCACACCTTCAACCAAACGCATCCTAAACAGTGTCACAGTTTGTACCTAGTATCTAAAAATATTACCATTTCATCAGCGGTGCCATTAGAAAATTATTTGGCACCGCTTCAGCAGTTTGTGCAACCAACTTTGGTCCACACATCCGAGCAGTCAAGCAGTAAAATACTAAATCCGGGAAGCCACTCTGACGGCAGGTCCGGAGACGACGAGGACCTGGCACTCTGTATCGCGCTCGAGCGGTCGCGGGTTGATATGGGCAACAGCTCCGGGTCCGGTGCAACGCCACCTGTCGCCCATCGCGGCAGTGTCGATGCCGACGCCAGCCCTTCAGGCCCCACATGCGGACTTGTGAGGCCTGCCTGATCTGCTCCTCCCGCCCGACGACCTCTTCTGCCTCTGGTCGCTGCTTCACGCGGGCAGCGCTGAGTTCTAGTGCCTGCTCCGCCCATGCAGCAGATGCAGACTCCGGAGTCGGGGGCACGTGCCGCCTGTCGCGAGAGGCAGAGGACAAGGGAGATGACGAGCGGGTCCGATGGGTCTGCGCAGTCCGCCCGCCGCCATCGGGTGCCCGGCAAGGAGGACCATCTCTTCGAGTGGGCGTGCCGCCGATCACTGACTGAGGTGGAGACGAAGGCCCGATGGCTCCGGAGGCTCAACGCCAAGCAGCTCCAGCACGGCATTGTGCAATCCGAGCGGGAGGCGGCGAAGGCAGCGCAGGAGGCGGCGAGGGTGGCCAAGCTCAAGCGCAAGCAAGACCGCGTCGTCCGGCGCTTGCAAGGCTACATCGTCATCTCCGATTCCTCCTCCGACGACTACGGGTCTGACAGCTCAACGTGGACCCACCTCCTGCCGCGGACTCCTACAGCCGTGCCGGCGACCGAAAGGGCAAAGGGCCGGCGAGGAAGCGGTGAAGACCCATCTTAATTTCAAGTTTTAGATGTAGTTTGAACGTGTCCGCCGTATTATATGTATTACATGAACTTTGGCTATCTTTTGATGGTCTGGTTGTGTCTTTTGATAAACCGATTGTGCATTTGTATGTTTGCTCAGGATCTATGTAGTTTTTAACAACATTGCATGGCTTAGTACTCCATCCGTTTCAAAATATAGCGCGCCCACGCTTTTCGAGGTTCAACTTTGACCATAAATTTAAACCACGAGACCGACTGCGGCGGGATCAAAAATTATATAATTAAAAACTTTTTTTGAATACGAATTCATTGGTATAATTTTTTCGCCCGCCGCAGTCGGTCTTGTTGATTAAACTAATGGTCAAAGTTGAAGCACGGAAACCGAGGACGCGCTATATTTTGGAACGGAGGGAGTATGAATGTAAACAATGTTTTAAATAGCGGGCTATGGGAAATAACGACGGACCTCCAAATCAGCTATAGTGGGCTAAAGCGGGTTATAACGGGCTATTTGTGAAGGCGACCATTTAGCAGCACCCTGCTAAAAAGGTTATAGCGGGCTATAGCGAAGCTATAGCCGGCTATTTAAAACTATGATACTCCCTCTGTTCCTAAATATAGGATGTATAGTTTTTGGCATGGAAATTAAAGAACACACATGGAGGAAAAATTTCACAAGTTTTGGGTGACATTACACCTGAGTAATTGACATGAGAAAATAGAGGAGCTTGCCCGATATAAGGAAATGTAATCAAATTCTAAAAAAATATCCAAACGAGTGTTGCAACGCAATACATCTTATATTTTGGTTTTTTTCTTAAAAATCTAGACACCTTATATCAAGGAATGGAGGGAGTATAATAAAGGGAATGTGAGATACAACGGCGTGGAGGCGCGAATACATGAAGTGCCCGATCATTGTCGGCGGGTGTGCTCGGACGCGCGTCCGCGGTATGCAAGTCCGGCTAAGAGCATGGGCTGGCCTAATCTAACGGCCGCGCGGCGACTGACCGAATTTTGGCCGGTCGACAGCGCCTAGTGGCCTAAGAATATTCAGAGCACGTACCGATGCTGGTATTACTGAATGAGTATAGCAGAGCTAATATAACATTGTTTTTTGTAGGTGTGTACAAATGATTGCTAATTGCTAAATTAGTAAGTAGAAGAAGGTAGTGCATGTGCATGCACGATGCGCGCGCCGTGTTTAGAAGAAACACTGGCCCAGTAGGCAGAACGGGAAGGGGGTCTCCACCGCGGTCCCACCGTCAGTTATGCCCATGCTGCTGCCGCTCCGGCCGCCCTCGAACTCCGGCACCTGCTGCACCCCGGAGCTCGCGGAGGGCTGCTCGAAGGTTGTGAGCGCCAGTGGCATCGGCTCCGCCCATTGCCAGACTCTGACCCCGCCCATGGTCGGGTCGCCGAGCGCCAATAGCGGCGGCGGCGGCGGTGAAGGCGCGGGATGAAGAGGAAGTGCGACGGGAAAGGAAGTAAAATCACGGGAAGGGCACTGCATGCGCTGGCGCTTCTTCTCGGCTGCTTGTTCGAGAAGGTGGAGGGAGGTGGCGTTGGGATCCTCGGCGAGCTTGGAGAGGAAGGACATGAGCCGGTCAGGCCGCCGCTCTGTCGCCTGCAGTCGCCGGCTCATCTTCGCCAGCTGCTCCCCGATGGCCGTCTGCTCCTGCCGCAGCCTCTGAACCTCCTCGAGCAGCGCCTCCCTTCCCTCCTCATCCTCTTCCTCCTCCACTTGGTCTCCCATATTGGCCACCACGTGCTGGTGCTGCTCGCCGCCGCCGACTGCAGACGAGCACGAGGCGCCAGCACCGGCCTCGCCGCGCTTCTTGCGGCGCACGATGCGCGGCAGCAGGTGCGTCTGGCCGCGCAGGAACGACTCGTGCGCGAACTCCCATCGGTCCGGGTGCACCTTCCGGAAGCCCTGCACAAGAATTCCATCTAATAAGCAAATCAAGCAGACATTTCTTCAAGCAAGTGTACAGTGCACGTGCAAGCTTAGAGTACCCTTCGTACAAGCAAGTACCATTTACAGACCACTCCTTGCTAGGACACCAGAAGACAAAAGACGGCGGCACTGGAAGCCTCACTAGGTAGGATAGGAGTACTCACATATGTGTTGAGCTGGCGGACGAAGCTGGAGAAGTTGCCGTGCTTGAAGAAGCAGGGGAGGAGGAGCTGCGAGAAGCCGGCGACGTCGGTGACGAGGAAGCTGTTGTTGCCCTTCCCCCACCTGACGAGCGCGTCCGTCCTAGGGTCGCACACCATCTGGTACGTCTTGGCCACGAACGGCGCCGTCTGGAGGTCGCCATGGCCGCACCCGATCAGCCCCAGCGCCAGCTCCGTGTGGAGGCCGTCCATCCTGCTCCTATCTATGTACCTCCTGCGTACTTGCCTCAGGCACTGGGAGTTCGCTCCCTCTACTCTAACTCACCCGCACACGTCAAAGTCCCTCAAAAGGCAGGCAGGCAGGCAGGTGTGGTTGCTTGCAGAGAGGGGCCGGGCGCCGCCCAATTAGGCTATGGTTACTAATTATGGGCAGCGTGCGTGACAGGAGGACATGGCTAAACAAATAACCCATGTGATGAGCTTACCTGTTCGGGGTTAATCTATATATATAGACGTCTCTGGCGCTCGGAAAACGGGACAAGTGTCGTGTGTCGATCCTTCACACGGACTAGCAGCATGTCGATCGATCCCCAGCCTTCCTGGCGTCGCCATCGCCTGAGATTTCCGGTGATATATGTGATTAAAACCGTGCCGCCTTTTGGACCGGAGCGTGCTCCAACAGTGCGGACAATGAGCAGGAGATCGCATCAAAACCCAACTGCCTCGATCATCCATCCGGTGTGGTCTCTCTCAAGCTTGCTCCTCTCGATCTGGCCGTGGAGTAGGGGCTAGCAGCTTAATGGTTGTCCGTCCACTTGCTCCTCTCGCACTGTGCTGGTGTTGTGATCGGTCGCTTCGATCGACTGTACACTGACTGAGAAGGTAGTACAAACACCAGCTTGTACTAGAAAAATGTAAGGTTGGGCTCATTCATGGACTAGGTTTAGTCCGTGCGAGCGTGCCACCGGCCGGCGAAACCCCACCGGAAAGGGGTGAAACGGTGTTTGGTCCTCGCAAGATGCTCACTTACGTGTCAATGCTGCACGTACGTACGGCGGATTAATTAGCTAATCCATCGTATATATTAATCCTCGACCAATCAAAGCAACCCGGGTGGACAATATCAAATGATACTCGCAAAAAAAAGACAGTATCAAATGATAACGCGGCAGATATGGACGACTATGCTTGCTCGTAACAAAATATGGGCCGGGCCCACCCCCCTGCTCTTTACGGGATTGATCAATTAAAGTACTACGATGCTATGATGTAGGTGTGCTCTCTTCGAAAATATCTTGTCTCCTCCAAGGCTTTTGTGAGTGGATGGGTATAATTGGGATCAGTCGTGCTGCCTCCTTGCGTTTGGTTGGTCCCCAGACTCGCTGAACTGGTGCTCCTTGACCCTCTTTCAAAAATGGGGATGTTCTCTTGAATATCCACTCATCTTGTGCCCATGTGGTCTTATCAACTACTAGCACTAGCGTAATAATTGAGTACTAATCATAGTTAAACTAGCTAGGTTGCTTAATTTGAATCAGTGGTGGTTGGTGGTTTAATTTGTGAGGTGTTCGAAAATTAGGCAAGTTCATGAATAACTTCGGTAAATAATTCATGACTAGGGCAGAAACTAGCATGCAACAATCTAGCAAACTAAAAGATTCACAAATCATGTACACCAGCATCACACACAAAATAGCAACTTCAGAGAGAGACATGAACAGATCACGATTGACATATTGTTCGGTACTTGCAGCAGAAGTGATGGTGTTGATAATGATGTTGGCGGCGATCTGTTGTTGACGACGATGGAGACGATGATGAGTAGCACCGTCCGACTTGGACGGAAGACGGCCAGTGATGACGAACTTGAGCAGTCGCGCAGAGAGCTTCCAAAAAACCTAATCCATCCTCTCTCGGTGTAGGATCGCAAATACGAACGGTTCTGGAGACCTGCTCTCCCGCACGCCGATGCACGTCGGCATTTGGAATAGAGTAGACTACGGTGGCTGCACAAGTTGTGAGACGAGGCAAAACCCTAGGTGTTTTTCGATGTGTTTATGGCCACAGCCGGTAGCAGTATATATATTAGGACCAGAGGCGGTATTGTGTCGCGATCACAATCCCAAACTGACTTGGTTTCTAAGTCGTATAGTTGCGGGACAATAAATCATTAACTTGTCTGCCAAGACATAAAAATAAAATGGCAAAAGGAAGTCACGCCCCAGCAAGACAACGGACCGGATTTTGGCGGACCATTCACGCGCATGTCGCATGTATGCGCCGCCTCGCGCCACCACGCCACGCCCCGACCCGGCTTGCCAGGCAAGGCGAGCGAGCGCGCGCGTGTGATCTTCCCTTTCTCTTCTCAACACACCATTTGGAGTGGTGGAGAAAACCCACTATACAAAGAGGTCCAACTCTTCTTCAACTTTCGGGGTGGGACTAAACTTTAACACCACCAGTTGCCATTTTATACATGGGCTCATTTGAGATTTCAGATTTTGTTAATGGGCATGCCCATTATTTCTTACAATCCCCCACCAGATCTTAAATACCCATTTAGAGTTTTATCTTTTCCCACCACTTGTTTAATATATCAATGTAGTAGAGACTGTTAAGTTGAACTTCTGCCTAGAGCTTTAAACTACATCCATTCACAAGTTGACAATGGACTATGCCTTGAATTGCTAGTTTTATGTGAAAATGTTTCACTCAAAGTCTTAACCAATACCTGGCTGCCAGCAGGCTACCCTGCGGTTTGGAGCATATACGTCATACTCCCTGGTCTCTTTGTGAGCTTATAGAGATCACCCAAATCTCATAGACAGTGACATTTACAATTGGAACTCATATATGTGCGTTCTTTCATGACTGCTCTGTAGGAGAACATCTTTGCTAATCATAGCCAATAGAACCATATTAAGGCATGTTGCCAACCATCCTTATAGCTTTGAGCATTACGACTTTGATAGTTTTGCATCTTCACCTAGAGATGGTCACTTATTACTCTCCTCAGTTAACCAATAGCTTATTCTTCCTAGATCCTAATTCACGGGATCTCCAATCACAAAGGTTGGGTTACTACTATGGTGTAACATCCATGGGTCTCATACCCATCTCCCTTGATGCAATATCTATCGCATTTCATGATAGTCCCTTTGTAAAGGGATCTGCCAGGTTTTTGTCTGTTTGAATATACGTAACAGTTATTACTCAGGAGTTGTTTAACTTCCTGACAGACTTCAAACGTCTCTTCACGTGTCTTGATGACTCCGCATTATCCTTAGAATTGTTCACTTTAGCGATAACCGTTTGGTTATCACAATTCATAAGAATAGTCGGTACAGGTTTTTCAACCATAGGCAAGTCCATCAAGAGCTCACACATCCATTCTGCCTCAAAAGTGATTGTGTCTAAAGCAGTTAGTTCTGCTTCCATAGTTGACCTCGTCAATATGGTTTGTTTGCAAGACATCCGTGACACTGTGCCACCTCCCTGAGTAAATAGATACCCACTTCTTGCCTAGAGTACATCAACATCGGAGATCCAATTTGAATCATTGTATCCTTCTAGCACAGCAGGATGCCCTGAATAAGTAATTTCGTAACTCATAGTACCTCTCAGATAGCGCAAGAACCTTTCTAGTGCATGCCAATGATCATCACCTGGGTTGGACATGAACCTACTCGGTCTGCTCATAGCAAAAGAGATATCTGGCCTTGTAGCACTAGCTAAGTACATGAGTGAACCGACAATTTGAGAGTATCTTAATTGATCTCTCATTTCTTTCTTGTTCTTCCTGAGTGTCACACTGGGATCATAAGGTGTTGGAGAAGGCTTGTTATACATAAAGCCGAACCGGCTCAAGACCTTGTCAACATAGTGAGAATGTGTTAGAGTAATCCCACTCTCATCCTTAATAAGTTTGATGTTTAGAATTGCATCGGCTTCTTCCAGATCTTTCATATCAAAACTTTTTGATAAAATAGACTTGACCTCATCCACATACAAACATAATATAACGCTATTGCCCATACCATGGCGATAGTAAACACACCTATTAGCCTCGTTAACGACAAATCCTGCAGAAGTCGGAGTTCTTTCAAACTTCTCATGTCATTGCTTAGGTGCCTGTTTCAGACCATACTAAGATTTTAACAACTTGCACACATTTCTCTCTTCACCCTTTACCACAAACCCATCAGGCTGATCCATATAAATTTCCTCTTCCAACTCTCCATTGAGGAAAGTTGTCTTTACATCCATTTGATGAATGATAAGACCAGAAGAGGCAGCCAGGGGAAGTAACACTCGAATGGTGGTCATTCTAGCAACGGGTGAATAGGTGTCATAGTAATCCTCACCTTCTTTTTGAGTGTAGCCCTTGTCCACAAGTCGCGCCTTGTACTTATCAATAGTACCATCAGGCTTTAGCTTCTTTTTGAACACCCACAGGTTTACAACCATATGGTCTATCAGTTATTTCCCAAGTTCCATTAGAAAGAACTGAGTCCATCTCATTATGAACAGCTTCTTTCCAATCATCTACATCCGGAGATGCATATGCCTCTGCAATAGACTTGGGTGTGTCATCCACAAGGTATACAATGAAATCATCACCAAAGGATTTGCAACCCTTTGTCTCTTGCTCCTTATAGGAGCTTCATCATTATTCTTCTCAAGGACTTTCCCGTGTGATTGTTCGAAATATTCATCACTTATACTAGATTCAGAAATTATCTCAGAAGAAAATCTAGCATGCTATGCATATCTTTCATAGGAAATATATTCTCAAAGAATGTTGCATCACGAGATTTCATTATAGTATCAACATGCATATCAGGTACTTCAGATTCTACAACAAAAAATATATAAGCAATGCTCTGTTGAGAATATCCTAGAAAGACAAAATCCACTGCCTTTGGTGTGAGTTTGCGTTTATTAGGAATAGGAATATTGACCGTTTCCAAGCATCCCCAAGTGCGCAAATAAGAGAGTGATGGTTTTCTCCCAACCCACTCCTCATAAGGGGTTTTCTCCTTATTCTTGTTAGGAACTCTATTTAGGACATGACATGAAGTCAATAGGGCCTCCCCCCACCATGCCTTAGATAAACCGGCAGTGTCTAACATGGCATTCACCAAGTCAGTCAATGTGTGGTTTTTCCTCTCGGCAACCCAGTTTGATTGGGGTGAATAGGGAGGCGTCCTCTCATGAATAATACCATGTTCCTCATAAATTCATCAAATACT